AACTAAGAAAGCGAGGTATTGTTGTTAGTATGTGGTTCCTTCAATACTTACAGACATTAAAATTCAACACAAAGATTTTAGCATATTGTGGATATTACCTCAACATATACATATATAATTGGCGCTTTGTAACCGCTGAAGCGACTTTTGGCCCAGCTGCTCCTCCTATTTATGATTTTGCGTCTTGATGATTTTCGAAAAAATGGAAGGACCTACATTTTATATTAAGCCGCCTCCGAAGGGCTGATGGTTTTTTATGAGGAGCTTTACTTCATATCTAAATACACTCGGAAGAGTTGAAATTCTCTACCGAGGGGCGACCGCAATTGAAAAGTTTTATTTAATTTAATTTTCTTTAACTTTTTGGATGTTATTACGCCACTAGGACTTGAGCCCGAGACTTCCGAATGGCAGTACGCAATGCTAAAACCTCGGCACTGCGGCCGCCTCAATAACCTTGCAAAAAAAAAACAAGGAAATCACACACCGTGTTATAAAATATCAAAACCTTGATTTGAACATTGGCAAGAATTTAAGATTTTTTTGTTGTCTGATATATACATTTTGAAAAAAATGTCTTTACATATGTATGTGAGGGATGGAACCATATGTAGAATTCCACGCAAGAGCGGAAAGTTTTTGACTACCATTCTCCTGGGAATGGCCAGAAACGAATCTTGTGCATATGATTCAAGCAGCTTACGAGTTCCGGTGTTAAGCCAAGTATCCCCTGGATAGTGAGAAGGCGAATACCATACGGTTGTGTGTAGGGCTGGGACCCACCACATGACAAAAAAATGCTATGAAAAATCTGAATATACCTCGGATGGGAGACAGTCCTTTTGATGACTACCGCCGTGGTGTTTAAAGAATCACGATTTGAGGGCGTGCACCTGGAATGTAAGATCCTTTTATTTTGAAGCAGCCGCTGCCTAGCTGGTTGATGTACTCGTTAGAATAAAAGTTGACATCACCGACGTTCAAGAAGTGCGATTGACGGAACAAGGACGGAATAAGGTGGGTCCTTGTGAAATATATTACAGCGTATATTTTTAATGAGCGCCTCGAGCATGCTTATGAGCGCAGCTCCGGATGATCTCGAAAATTGTGCTTGGTGTCGTTAACGCCAAAGTAGGCAAAAAAGGTAACTTCGGCACAACTGTCGAGAAATCCAGCTTTCGCGACGAAACATCCCCGAATGAGTTGAGGCTGATCGATTTCGCCGGGTCCGAGATACGGTACACTTTAGTATTAAATTTCAGAACAAACAAATTCTCCAAGCTACATTGCTGTCTTGCGATCGAAAAACTCTCAACCAGATCGATTATGTTGGGATAGACGGAAGACTTGTATCCAGTGTTTTAGTCGTGGTCAAAAAGATACCGAGAGCTGAAGGTGGATGTAAGACGTATTTGCAGGAAAAAAAGAAGAGGGTCGGAATGCTTGAGTAATAAAGTATTAAAAGCTGGCCTACAGTGAGAATGAAACACCCGGAGATAGTGAGCATAAAACCCCAATTTATGACGAATTAAAAGACACATATCGCATATAAGATCCAATCTAGCTTTTTATGTATATTCAATTTTGCAACTCGTATTATTTACTCTAGCAATAAGTTAAAAAAGTGACACGATGAGGAGTTCCCTATCTGAAACAACGTTCGGTTCGGAGAGTTTCTTCCCGATTCTGACAAAGCTTTTAGTATTGCTTAACGTTAGTTCAGACTTAGCGCAGAAAATACAGCTTTTATTCGTGCTGCCGAAGGCTGGATTAAAATCGACGAAGAGGTGATGGGTGTTGGTCCTCATTTCACGGGTCTTAAGCTTATCCTACGACAATTAGTGCAGACTGTGGGGTCCTCTTTTACTCGGCTGGGGAGAGCACACTTCAATTTCAATCGTTGGGCATGCCCTACCATATTCTGCAAAGTAGCTGATACATGCACCTTGTTAGCTCTTCAACGCCATGCTTGAATAGTTCTACAGAAAAGCTGTCAACCCCAGGCGCTTTGTTGTGTTTAGGTGGACTATTGCTATTCGAACTTCTTAATGGTCAAGTAATGGATCGTCTTTTCAATAGTCCGAATATTCCATATTTACTATTATAAAGCAGACTGCAGAAGTGTTCCCTCTAGCCATCGGTTGCTAAATCACCTCTTTGTGTCCTACGAGAGTCTGCTCCCGCCTTGAAACTTTCTGTAAGCCAGCGTATCTTCCCATAGAATTTTCGAGCATTACCTTTGTCGGCCAGCTTCTCAATGTCTTCATATTCATACATCTCGGCCTTTTTATTTATTTTTTTTGTCTGCAGATGCGTCTTGCTTCGCTCTTTAGCTCTCGGTATCTATGCCATCCCGAACGTGTAGAGGTCGTCGCAACATTGCGAGGTAGGCAGTCTGTTTTTTCCATATTACGACTCGCCATCCTCATCGTACCAGCTGTTTTTGCGAAATTTCCGTAATCTAATAGTTTCGATTACAGCTGATCGTAGGGAGCTCAAAATGCCGTTTCGCAGTTCTAGCAAGTAGCTGACGAGTGTTCTCAGAGAACAGGAGCGCAGGTCGAGTAGAAAACCGTTCGGGATCCTGTTGTGATTGCAGCTTTTCGACGTCGAGCTTTCGTTTTGATTGTTGACGGGCGCTCTTGGATATACAAGGGCACGTGCATATTTTCGGTGCAACAATATAGTAGTCCGAGTTGATGTTAGGTCACGAAGACAGTCGTATCAAATGTACCATCTTTGCTCACCATGACTTTAAAATCGCCAATCACGATTTTCATATCGTGTCGGTCGTAGCGCTTGCTCATAGTTTGCACTCTAGGCGCTCATAGTTTGCAAATAAACGATATGTTGAAAAATCTCGCTTTAATGCGGGTTGCGGCGACACGTTCATCTATCGGAGTGAAAGCCAATACTCGACGACGGAGTCTCCCTCACACAACTTCGACACCAATTTTGCGCTCCTTTCTATGATCGCTGTAGTAGAGGTCGCAAGAACCTTCTCACTTTCGTACAGTCCATCCAGCGGCACCTTCCCAATTAAGGGACCGGACATGCCCTCGAATCATGATCCTTTGACCGTTTGCGGTGTTAAGAAGGGTCTCTCATTCGGCCCCTCTAAAGCTCTCTTTCTCATTAGATGTGACCTAAGGATCCACACGGCTTGGCTACTTCACAAGGGCTGCTCACGTTTCCAGGGTGCACGAGGTGGACACAAGAATAGAAATTGAGTAAAGCGTTGCAAATGTAACAGCATGCCCAGAAGCTTGACTACAACACATTAAACCCTAATACATTAGCTATCAATAACTCATTTGGTGTAGCAGAGACATTTGACTAAGTAACTTAAGGCTAATAGATGGAGTGCAATTTACATTTTTCCAATAATTAATTTCTAACAAATAGAATAAAATGTGCTTTTGTTAGCATTATCAGATATGGTAACGAAAATGTCCTAATACTGAATGTATATATATATTTAGCGTGTCACTACATATCATATAAGTGAATTGAAAACAGGAATCAGGCGATTTTTAAAAAGGTATGAAAATTGTTACTCTTTTCTGAGACTAAAACAAAAGAAGCAAGTGGAATTACATATACGCAAATGAAGATATGCAAACTTTTTAAGTTGCATTTATTGCAGGGAGGTGCTCTCGATGAATGTTGCCGCGCCCTTCTAAACCAGTGTCCATAACATAGCATGAAAATAATCCAATTTTTCCAGAAAAGTATCCACTATAATAGCTGCGATAGCTGAGTGGTTAGCATTGCGCACTGGCTTTCGGATGGGCAGGGGACGATTCCTGATCCAAAATCCAACTAATTATAGAAAGCTAGATAACAAGTTAGTTTTATTAATATCAGTCGCCCCTATGCAGGGATTGTCAACCCTCGGAGTAAATTTTGGACATAAAATATAAGCTCTTCATGAAAAACTATCAGGCATTCGGACGCATATAAGTTTTTACACGCTGTTACTATTTTAGTAGCTTTTAAAATTTAATTACCATAATATTTTCATTTTTAAGTATCGGAAAATATATATTGTTACGATTTTACTGAATCAACCTCGATTATTTTCTAGATCCTTCGGGTACGATCTCTGGATTGTTAAATAAAAACTCGCCAACTTAGTTTGCAGTTTCTTTCGTTATAAAGATTCTATCTAATGTCCTTTATTCTCTCAGTAATTCACAATTCAATTATACTGCACTTTACTATTTATAATCACTAACATCAACTTTCACAATTTCCTCTACTTAAATGTAATTCCCAACGCGTTCACTTTACGTCTTCACTGATGTTAACGCCAACCAATTTGCTTTGTCACTGCTTGACTTGCAGCTGAGTGTCGCCTTTATATAGCAGTCGGCTGCTCGCAGACGAAAGCGTAGAAGCATCGAATTGTTCGCTATGGAAGGTTCTTGTTTTATCGTTTCTAGAACGTACTAGTTATCGGCTTCTCTCTTTCATCTGACATTCGCCTCGCATTTTCGCAACAATATAATGTTATAAAAAAAACAACTGAGTAATCGTCGAAATGATCGAAAAATGGTCTGCTTAAAGTACGTTCCTCTTGTAGCTAAGTTCTTAACTGAATATGTCATATTGCCATAGTGCACCTAATCCTTTTAACAGACCTGTTCTGTCGAGGTAACAAAATCTACTTTGGTATTAAAATTTTCCATTCAGTAAATTTTTTTACTATTTCGGATTCTGAGTTCACTGTCACCCTGTAAATTTTGTTAGCATAAGCTAAAAGAATAATATTCACATCGAAAAAGAATAGACGGTGCACTACAAAAAAAAAGGAATTTTGTTCGTGTGTTTATTAAAATATGCCTAAGCGAAAAAAAACTGAATGATAACGCTATCTTCCAAATGAAAAAGGTCATCTGTTACTAGCAAACTTCTTAAAATACGCCTTTTTGCACTTTGTTCTTCATTTTCAATGAATTTCAGGCCTAAAATATGCCTACCTATTTTGGTTTTTATATTTTCTCAAACTAACAACAAAAAATCAAGACTTTTATTTGCCTCCTATTTCGCTGGTAACAAAATTGACAGTGAACTCCGAATACGGAATATTGTAGTAACAAATTTTACAGCATGGTGAATTTTAATACCAAAGTAAATTTTGTTACCTCGACAGAATAGCCCTGTGAATGGAGTTAAATTGATAACACGAAGCGTCGTTTACTTAGAGCTATCATGCAATATCAATATAATCGTCAAATCTAAACATTAGCCACTGCTTTAATATATTATCTTTTACAAGTCAATGGAGTTAAGTAAATCTTTACTTGTGAGCGTGCAATTTACTTTTATTTGGAACGGTATCCGGTTTTGTACCGAGCAGAAAAGAAGAGTATCCAACAAAAATTCCTGGAAAAAGCTATCCATTTGGATTCGAATAGATCAAAACGGCAACATTGCTGTCGATTTCAATGCAAATTATACAGAAACGGTTGACGGTACGGCAACAAGGCAGTGAATTTGTGTACAACATATCGATGCGGCAAATAGGAAAACATCATAAATCTAATCCAGAGTTTTGTTTTGATTCTCGCGACGGTGACAACACTGCCCGCTCGGAGCCTGTTCGCTCGTGAAAAAAGCGATTTCTTGGTATTGCCATCTAATATCGGCTAAAAAACTTAGATACATTTTACAAAAAAAAAAAAGACCATATTATAAATAGACGTTTAGTTATTAAATTAAGAAATAAAGCGAGCAACTAATTAAAACTGTTTTATGTTGGAATACGAATAAACAAAATTTATCGAGTGCTTTGAAGGTGGTTTTTTCGTTTGTTTGTGTAATAGTGACCGTCAATGGGTACAACCTGCATTTTCGCATGTATGTATGTATCTATGTACCAGCACATATATTTTTGGCTTGAAGGTTTTAGAATTTTTGTATTGAACAGTATATATAAAATTATTATTTGTATATTATAATTATTATCAACTTGCAGATGTAGTAAAAAAACTTTGCGGCTCCAACAAGGACTTATAAATACGTTTGTATGTATGTAATACTCATTAAAGTTGCCCCTGGCGTCGTAACTACAAACATATGTATACAAATATGTGTATTATATATCTAATAGCCTGAGCCCAAATGTGTTTAAAATGTGTGCGTTTAACAGTATAGATACAATAATTTGCATATAATTTATATATATTATATTTAGTATTTAGGACGAAAATCATGCATCTATGCTTATACATAGTTATACATAGATATATATATTTTTCATGTACACATCCATACCTCATATATATTTAAATATTACATAAATATAAGCGTATAAAAATGTTCGTAAGTGCAAATATGTGACCATTCATATGTATGTACATGTAATAATATCTCGCAAGAATCTATCTAGGCAGGCAAACGTTATTACAACGCAACGAAAACGTGGGTGGTGTTCGAATAGAAGAAATAACCGTATATTTTATATATATGGATTATATATATTTGTATTTATATATATATATATATATATATATATTATGTATATCTCTATATAAGAACTTGAAAATTTGTTCCGCATATGTTTCGGAATAAAATAATTAAAAAAGTCAGCACAATCTAGTATCTAATTGATACTTTTCTCTCTAAAGTATTAATTGGATACTATTTCACTAAGCCACAGAGAGTGGTTGTCATTTAGCAGGTCATAAAAATCAAAACAAACTGCTTTTGCTCTATGTACAAAATTTTCGTAGGAAGTAATAAAGACTGGAAGAGGAACTTTCTGCCTTTTTATTTGAAAAAATCGATTTATTTATATTTAAAAGAAACACCTTAAATAATTAAATAATGCATTTTCTTATTAGGACCATCCCCAGACATAACTTGGCGAGTCTTAACACTTTAACAGAAGAATCGGTAATTATTTAGGACAGCGGCTTTTGCTAAAACTGTCCAAAAATGATGGGGTTTTTGGCTAAATAGATGTGTTTGATGATTATCTTTTCATTAAAAGTGGGGGAAAGCTGAATTTTGCAATAATTTTATTATTATTAACATTTAAAGTTACACTAAAATCACTAGCACACACATTACAAACAAATGCATGGCTAAAGCGATGTTGCCATATCTTACTTAAAAAAGAGTAATAAATAAGACAAAGTATGGCGAAAGCGACGTTTCGCTTATGTTCGTTTCAGTAAATCGAAAAACAAACTATGCCGGGCCAAAACTTGCTCCGCCTTATTTATTGCTCTTTTTAAGTTTCTTACACATTTTGGCTACGTCGCTTTCGCCATACTTTGTTTTTTATGGCAACATCGCTTTAGCCATGTATTTGTTTGTAATATGTGTGCTAGTGATTTTAGTGTAACTTTAAATGTTAATAATAATAAAACTATTGCAAAACTCAGCTGTCCTAAATAATTACCGAAAAATCTTCCTTTTCTGATTATTTTTCCATTTTTTGTATTTTATATGTATGTATTGTAAATATACCCTTATATCAATTCATAAAAAGTAATCTACACTCTATATGAACAACATCAAGTGCTTTTCAGCATATCGCTAAACTATAATACGGTACATTTTTTTTTATAGCTATTAAAACCTATAATACACTCATTACAGCTACATATTCAAGCTATTGTAGGCCCCATTTATCTGCTGTAACGCTCAGCTGGCTCATTGCAAACTTCAGAATCCGGACAAATCTGCAGTAATCGAAATGGGCTTTCGAAAAAATTGCTTTTCAAGTAAAATATTTATTGTATAGTATAACTTCTACAAATACCTTTATAGCCGTCAATAAGTAAGTTCAACAGCCGCTTGCCATTGGCAACTTTTATGGTGAGTCCTTAATAGAATGCCATCTGCCTCATTTAAGTTACTCCATCGCAAAAACCAGCCTCTTCGTCTTCTGGTTGCATTCGATTTGCTCCTTGGTAATTCTTTGTGCTCGATGAATATCTAAAAAATGTAGATAAATATCTATTGATTAATGTTCGTACATAATGGTAATCGATCGATCTAGACTTGAAATTGTAAACTTTTTTTTAATTTATTGATGGCAACTTACATTTTTAACTCACAGCTGACTGTTGGTCCTCGAGCTCGTAGTTTGAGCTTGAGTTTGATAAAACCTAATCGGGGCCCAAAGAATATAGATAAGGGAGAGTTCCAAAACGTCAGTTGCAAAGCAACCATTCATTGTCATGCATTGCTGAATGCAACCGTGCAAACTTTGACTATTTATTCTAAATGTATATAGTTCCTAAATGTTTCGGTAATGGTTTTGATGCGCAAACAAGAATGAGATTTTTTTTGCGTTAACTCTTTTTATTTAACATTTTGTTGCTTATTTTTCATCTGGTTTATATTAGCCATTTCACCAAAAAACAACTTGTTTGCACGAAAAGCGTTCCAAAAGTTCAGAGTTTGCGCAGTATAGTTGCAAAGCAAATTAATGGAATGCAGAGTTGCATCGCGATTTCGCAACCGAATCGTTACAAAGTATTTTGACGTTTTGGAACTCGCACGTATCCTGTGCAAGCAATGCAGACGAAAGATATAAATTGAGAAAACACAAAAAACCATATGCACGGGAAATTTTCTGTTTTTAGAAATTATGGTTTTTCAGTTTATTTGTATATTTTTGATACAGGAATCATATATGTATGTGAGGTCTGCTTAAATCAATAAATCTGGCACTGAAGAAGAGAACAAAAATTTAAATGTTCATCGTAGACTGTGGCAAACGTTGTCGAATTTGTCTTACGCGAAGTGCCGGCACATCATCTTCTGATGGAACATCTACTCGTGAAGATTCCTCGTTTGACATTTATCGCTTAGGCGATTATAGCCGAATTAATGTTAGCGCGCCATTACTCTTTTTTTCGCTGTATTTGGAAATACCAAGTGAAGAGGTCTTCGTCTTCCTCTGCTTCAATTACCGAATACTTTCAAAGCTGGAGTGCTTTCATCCATTCGGACGACACAACGCCAGCCTAGTCGCCGAGGGAGGATTTTAGTTTTCAATTGCCTACTCAGTCCAAAGTAGCACCTGTTGGCAAGAGTGATTTTGCGTTGGATTTCCAGGTTGACATTGCTGTTGGTGTTAATACAGGTTCCAATATAAGTGAAGTTATTTGTTTCAAAGTTATGACTGTCAACAGTGATGTGGGAGCCGAGTAGCGAATGCGTTGATTGTTTGTTTGAAGACAAGATATATTTCGTCTTGCCCTTTTTCATTACCAGACCCATTTGCGTCTCTTTTTTAACGAGTCTGGAGAAAGCAGAACTCGGCGCGGCTGTTGAGGCCAATAATATCAACATCATTGGCGTACGCCAGCAGCTGTCTGAAATCTCGTTTGTTATCGAACTCGGAGATGTCTTTCCCGGTTTTTAGTATTGCTTGAGGTCAGTTTACAAAGCCGTATAAGTTTTGCGCGGATACCAAATTCATGCATAGCGGCGTATAGGCAGCTTCTCCTCATGCTGTCGAAGGCTGCTTTTAAGTCTACGAAGGGGTGGTGTGTGTCAATTCTCTTTTCACGCGGTTTTTTTTTCCCAAAAGTTTGGCGCATGGTGAATTCCTGATAAATTCCAATCAGTTTGTTTATAGTGGGCTTCGGTCTTTCAGACTGTTCGCTTAATTTTACCTTAAATGCGACGTTAAGAAAGCTTATTCCACCGTAATTGGCGCAGACTGTGGGATCGTATTTTATGGATTGGGTAGAGTACACCTAAGCTCCAGCATTAAGTCATGCTTTCATCCAACCATATTTTGCAAAGAACTCTTGCATGCACCTGATCAGCTCTTCACCGCCGTATTTGAAGAGCTCGGTCGGTAATCCATCGATCCCCGCCACTTTGTTGAGCTTTCTCCGCAAGTCACCTTGTCTTTTTTCGAGCCTAACTCTTGTCGGCCAGCTTCTCAAGCTCCTCGTACTCACGAATTTCGGTCTCTTTCTCTTTTCCCTGCAAACGCGTCTTGCTTCCCTCTTCAGCTCAGAATTTTCGACTTTTGTCTCAAATATACCTTCTTCCTTCTTTCGGTGAGCTTTTTCTTCGACAAAAATTATTCGCGAATTGAAAACGCTCATCTTTGCGAAGATCGGCTTTAGAATGAATCTAAAATCTGTACCCGAAATCGAACTATGAACATCATTGTTGCCTGTAGAGTGTTGCACAATGTTAAATATAAGTATAAGTAAAAGTTCAAGCAGCGCAAGCATCCGCTGATTCCGACGAAAGCATAGCTAGGGTGAAAAGAAACTATAAATATTGCATATATTTTATACATGTAGGTTATGAATTAAATTTCAAAAAATCATTGTCTTGATTTCATAATCAAAAATACACTACTAAAATACAAGAGAAAACGGAAGATCTTAAAAATTACTTTACCATATCGTTTTGAAAAATTTACACAAATACCGGCTGTAATGCAGTTTTTATGTAATCACAAATAAAATTTTTGTGAATTACCTTAAAATATTCGGACCTTGTGAAAACGTGCTTTAGAGTCGGAACGTGCAGGAGGTGCGATAAATGGGTGGATGAGCTATAATATTGGGTGACATATAATACGAATGACAGGTGTAAATAGAGCAAATATGTTAAGATTTCACAAAATTACCGGCAGCCTGGCATTAAGTAATAAAACCGATGTACTTTCTTCTTTTACATAAAACAAGTGTTTTTGCTGCATAACTCTTATTTGAAAAAATGACAAGGGGGCATACAGTGTTCAGTTTGTCATTGACTTACTTACTATGACCCATTGTTTATATTCCATTAGAATAAGTTTGTTGTCAATTTTTAATAGTACATATTCCTTAATATCGAATATTTGTAAAGTACTTTAAATTTGTGGTACCTTCGTTGATTTTAAATAAAAATAAACCAAGATTTAGTTAACTTGAGGGCTTTCAAATACTTTTTTTTATGTCTATATACGTATATATTGGTATTTTTTTATTTCTGACTACACTAATTTATTTGCAATCGGTATTCCTAAATTATGTCTTCAATTGCTCATGCTGTATTAGATTTTTTGTTTGTTCTAACCTACTGCTCCTACTGCAGACCTGGCCACTGTGGCTCCCTGTAGATTGCCCTATATAAGCCAAAATCAGCATTTTGTCAATTTGTCGGAGATCACTTTCCCGAAATGGGTTCTATGTACCGAATATCAAATAATTCCAGTCATAAAAACCATTTTTTTGAAAACATCGGAACGGGACTTGCCGGGTAGGAAGAGTAATCTTCCTATTAGCAGGAAGCAAAAAAAAAAAGCAAAAAGCCGCCGATGGACCGAATTTCATTCAGGAATTCTAAATACGATTTATGTTTTCCAATATATCACTTTCCGTTCTACTTCGAGATGAGAAAAAAAGCCTTCCTGTTAACCTAAAACAGCCACATTTGTACTGAATTTCAAGTAAATCGAACCATAAATACGATATTTTCAAATAATTGCTTCTATGGTATAGATCCCGGAGAGAAGAGTAATATTCTTGCTAGTCAAAGTAAAAAGCCACCTATGCACCAAATTTCAAGCAAACCGTGAATAAGATATTCTTCGAATAGGTTAAGGAATAGTCCCTGGTCCAATTCTCGAAAAAAAATTTGTCGTCTAAGCCTTTTCAGGATTCATAGAAACAATTTTACCAAATAAATCGGTAAGTAACTTTGCAAGATATGCAGAGCTTTATAATCGAACGTAAGTTTTTTATATATGGAGATATGCATGTATTATAGTTGATAATATGGTTAAG